ATAATATTTTATATTACATGATTTATAGACTTCATTGACTTCATAATAACTATACACTGTGATGGGCCTATTTGTTATTCTAAGTTAAAGTTAATCTACTGATGCTATGAAACAGCCAGTCTGTGTCAAAGTGATACATTCATTTTAAAAGTCTTCCGTCCTCCTATAAATGAGAACATCATCGTTATAAGATGCAGTAGCGCACAGATTAACATTCACATATCACATTGCAACCGGTCTAACAAGGGAGTACCAATATGGCGTCCGATGGCTTCATTTCAAACCTGTACTACCAATGAGCAATCAGCAATCCAGTGAATAGAGATCAGTGGTCTTTATCCATGCTGGGAAAGATCCTGACCTTTGAATAAGGAGGCAGGGAAAGCAGGATAAAGCCTTAGCCTCGCTGCATGCAGTTAGCCTCGCTGCATGCAGTTAGCTGCGCTGCATGCAGTTAGCCTCGCTGCATGGAGCTAGCCTAGCCTTGTGCTAAATAATTCTATAAACCTGTCAATCAGCCGCACGTTCTAACAGACGAACTGTGACGTCAGCGCTGTGGAGGGAGGTGGTGAACAAGTAAAGCTGCTTTCAGCTCTGGATGCTGCTCCTCAGGATGCTCCTATCTTTGCAGTGAAGAGGAGCTGCTGAGCTGGACGACTTTAACCAGATGGGGGAAGATTTATGGAAATACGTCACCAATCTGAAGAACGAAACAGCTTTACTTGTCATTAAATATTAAATATTTATCTTGCACATCTAAAAAAGATATTAATATATTTCTAAATATTTTAATTTGATTATTTGATTTTTATTCGCTTTTTTTCTATCAGGGTCATTGGGTGAGTAGGGTGGCGCCCTCTATTGGCCATCAACCACTGATAAAAGGAAATATTAGTCTCAATGTTTTCCTCCCAAATGTTTTGGTTTCTCCCAAAAATGTCTTCATCCTCTGAAGGTTTACCCCCCACCCCCCCTGTGTGAGATCTACCTTTTTCCCTCCATCTCCTCCAGTCTAGACTCTTTTTCCACATCTTGTCGTCCCCCTCACCCCCTGACCTCCCTCCATTCTGCGTCTCCCCCTCTGCTGGGCCCCGTGCAGAGCCGGCCGCCCCCCCACGTTGCGCGCCTATTAACGGGCCTTGGTGGCCTGTAATGATGTCTCTCCTGTCTGAGCAGCTGCTGTAATGCTGAATAGGAAGGGAAAATGAGAGATTCGCCACATCAGAATCATTGTTCCTGTGCCGCCGTGTGTTTCAGACAGGAGGGAAATGAAGCTTCCACCGAGGCTCCTCCACATTCGACCAAACCTTTTTTTTTTCCCTTTTTAAATCTTTCTGTCTTGGAGGTGTCAAAGATTGCTTTCATTCGGTTTGTTTTCTAAGATGGCTAAGAAGAAGATGGAAAATGAACAGAAAAAAAGGCTGAATTCAAATTAAACGAAGTATGTCCAGATTTATAATTTCAATGAACATTTGAGGAACTGAAAGCAATCAGTTTAATTAGGATGCGTTTACCACTAAAACCCAGCTCTTTTCCTGGTCTTTATCTCTCAGTTCTTCACGCTTGCGTCCATCATGGCAGGACGGACAACTGCTGCAGAATCTGTCAGTCAGCTGCTTTATTTCCAGGGCGATGATTATGACAGGATGCCAGCAGCTGCACCACACAGCGACAGACACGGAAAAGCACAGAGGACTCCATCCGATTCAAGGATTTACTGGCTTAGCGTACATTCATAGGCGTAGCAGTGATTATATGTGAGGAGGACGGGGGATACATGAGGACAGTGGAGAGAGTTCAGTTCAACAGTATCAGTTAACCCTGATTAAAATGATACAAACCTCTCTAGTTTTATTATCTTCTAACACTATAACATGAATCATTCTATCTCTGTTCTCCCACTCTGCAGAATCTGTTTGGCTGTGACTCCATCCTGGAGAGAAATATCAGCTGTGCTGCTGCCATCAACACCTTTGTTTCTAGATGTTGGAGCCCAGCCTGTTTTCCAGTGTAGTCCTGTTTCTCTGACTGTGACTAACTGGATGTGCTCTCTTCATCCTCTGACATGGGAGCTGGCTTGGAGCTCGTCTGCCTGGCTGTGTGTTTCCTGGACGGGGCCGCCTGTGGAGCTGGTTGACAGTTGCCTTTTGTATCTATGCTTCTTTTTCTATGTCTGCTTCTGTCTCCTTGAACCCCAGTGGGCCTCAGCAGATGGCCGCTCACACTGAGCCTGGTTCTGCTGGAGGTTTCTTCCTGTTAAAAGGGAGTTTTTCCTCTCCACTGTCGCTACAAGCATGCTTAGTGTGAGGGATTGCTGAAGAGTCAATGAGTCGATGCAATCAGCTGGTTTTCCTTAGATAGAAAACTTTGAATCAATCTGACTGGATGATCTGGTGAGCAGTAAAGTGCCTTGAAATGACATGATGTAATTTGGCGCTATAGAAATAAACTGAATAGAATTGCATGTGTTTCACTAATATTTTTCTATTGTTCAGTTTAATCACTCTTGAACATCTCAAGACCTCGAATTTGGGGCTTTAAGTCGGAACCAGTAGACGTTTATGAACATTTCCATTTTCCACAAGTCTACTTTTTAAGGTTTTCAAATGCTCCATTTCCACTAGCCCTCATTCGTAAGGGTGGTGCAAATGGGGCTCAAGTTGGGGTCAGAGGTCAAAAGTATTAATGTTTATCACTCCAGTAGAAGTATAAATCCTGCTGTTTAAAAACACTTTTATAGAAGTTAGAGGATCTACTTCAGCTTTTTACTCCAGTGACAGTTTGTTTTGGTCCACTCTATAAAACCTGGAACTATTTCTGACATTTTGAATTGAAAAAGTTTCCTGGATGGAAGAGAAACGTCTTCAAACTTGGAAACAAAGTCCAGTGGATTGTTTTTTAACTTTTTTATGACTATGACCTGGTTGACTGAGAATCTTCAGCGACTGATTATGGAAATAATAACTGATTAACAATTAATGCTACAGTATAAATTAGAGAGCTGGACATAAAATACAGAAGGAATACTAAAATCTAAACACTTAGGTCTTAAAAGTCCTTCTTTGAGGAAAAGTTTCCGGAACTGTCAGTGACTGAATGAGTTTGGACAGTTACACACATCAAACTAAGTACAGCAGGTATGACTTCCACTTCAAATATCCTCCCCTTCCTCCGCCTCAGGCGATTTTTATCAAGTCCACCGTGTTTTATTTCAAACAGTTTTACTTATATAGATCCTTCTAATTGGTGTGTTATGATCAGCTGTATGTCACCACATAGAGTTATGAATAAATTAAATCCGACTGCATCTAGTTAAAATTCAGTCTGTCAAATATGGGCTGAAACTGATATGATTGGATAAGCAAATCCAATGAATTCAGGTAATTTGAAGTGAATTAGGTTGCATAAAACTGAACACAACCAGATGGTAGAAGTGAGGGTGTCAGGAATGGGTTGTGGTTTGTTGAACCAAATGCAGAGGCAGGGAGGCAGAGGGGATTTTTGTGTGGATTTAATGAAAGGTTAACTTAAAACAGAGGCAGGTAATCCAAAAATCCAAATATAAAAACAAAGTCCAAACACAAACAGGGAACCAGGAATCCAAAAATCCACAAATCAAAACAAGAAAACGAGTCAAGACGAACCAGAAACCATGGAGACATCAGGGGGATCACAATCACAAGGACAAAGGCTCAGAGAGATGGAGTTGGAGAAAGTTTGACGAGGACCCAGCAAAGAAGAACAGAACAGAGAGAGTATTTATGGGAGACTGAAAAAAAGCAAGAACTAGTGAACAGATTGGGAGCAGGTGTGAGCAGAGCAGAAACAAGAAAGGAGCAAAGGAAAAAAGGAGAACACAAGAGGGCAGCAGAGGGCAACAAATGAAAAACTGAGAACTGAAAATAACCAGAAAACACTACAAAATAGGAATGAAACCAAAAAAAACTAGAAAACATGGAACAAGGTAAAACAGAATACAGAACCAAGACCATGACAGAGGGCTGATTCCATCCCATCGTTACCACAGAGGACTCGTACCTGTGTGCGTTCAGAACACTCGGATGCTTAACTGGGAGCAACCAGCGTTCGAAAATCTTTCCCTTGTAAGAGAAGCAGCTGTTATTTTTAGCCGTGTGGTAAATAGAACATCTAAAGGTGTTTTGACCCCTTTTAACTGGAAATTAAATTAAATATAGATTGCTGCGTTTCTAACTTGATGTTATGTCCAGTTTTCCTTATAGGGGTACTAAAAACAAACCCCATCTGTCTTATCTGAGCCTGATTGAGATCTCTGTAACAGTATGTAGACCACCAGCACTGCCTCCATCTGCTAACTTCCACATGAACATATTCAGTAAAGGGTTACTTACAGATCACTGTCTTTGGTTCCCTGTTGCCCCACATCTGCTGTGCAGCAGCTCCTGGAGGCAAGAAGACAATAAACAGGTCAGTAACCTGGATGCTTTCTGCTTTCTGTTAGGGACAGTACTAAAAAATTTATCATTTTTGCAACAGAACCAATATTTTGCTAGAAAATCAAACCAAGGAGATGCATTTTTGTAAGAAAGCTTTATGACTGAGGAAGTCCTCTGGACATAAGACTGGGAAACTTTTCTCCGATCCCTTTTTTTGATCCCCTTGATATTCTAGAAATAAACACAATCATTGATAAACTAAAAACACCTTCTACAGGCCATATTCCTGCCTTTCTTATCAAACAGTAACATATTTTCTTTTGAAATCACATCATTACATTGTTCTTTATCTCCTTTTAAAATATGTGAATGTATCAAATCATATCAAAGATCAGAGCATATGTTCCATATTTTTGAATAACTACAGGCCTATATCTATTCTTACGTTTACAAAGTGGACCTCCATCACCGTGGTTATGATTCTTTATGACCATCGATATGGTTTTATGAAGAATCGCTCCACATATACGGCCTCTCAAAGGTGAAAGGTTTCATCCTGCAGTTCAAACTGTGACTGTTAGGCTGTAGGTGTGTTTCTGTGCTGATCTGCGATGGAACGGTGACCCCTCTAGTGTGGATCCTACCTTGTAGCCATAGACTGCTGGGATATGTAGCTATATTTGCACAGGCAGGAATTTGTTTGATTAAAGGGTTTTAATGCTCACAGAGCTAAGCTAGTTCATGGAGTTTGTCAGGGCTCCAGTGTTGGTTCTTGTTTACATGATTTATCCAGTGTGGCATCTCCATTTCTGTTTGCTGATGATGCTACCCTGTTTTTCTTACTCCCTGTTGTGTCTGAGCCCTCCCCCCACAGCCCCCACCCCAGCAGAGCCGTAAACACACCGGCTTGTAGGCAGTGCCACGGATTCACCAAATATCAATGATAAACTTTACCTTAATAAACACCTGCACCGCGGCAACGTTTTCTAGAATGACAGCGCGTGCCTTGTGGGGGAGGGGTCTGAGCAGTCTGTACACGAGCGTGATTGACACTGCTAAGTAGGGGTGGGTATTGCCAAAGAAGTCACAATTCGGTTTGAATCACGATTCACAGGCCACGATACGATTCTATCATGATGCATCACGATACTTGAATTATTGCGATGCATTGCGATATTTCCACTGAACACTATTAGAAATAAATACAGCCATTACCAGTGGCTGACTGGCTGAGTGTGATCTGGGTAGTGTCTTCCAATTGTTTTTTTTTTTTAAACCAAAATGCTTCCAAACATCGGATTTGAAATTTGACGGAGCCGGACGAAGTTTCTCAATCTCCTCCATGTTTTGTTTTTGAATGACTCGGCGCAGTATCCCGTGGCCGGAAATGCTTGTGACACAAGGCAGCATGCGTCAACACATCCACAGCGACATCTACTGGACTGGAAGTTGTATTACACTTGTTTTTGGCTGATGTTCTCCAACCATTCATGCAATTTTATTTATTCATTTTTTTTATTAATAATCGATACTTGGCGTCAAGAATCGATGCAGTAGATCACGAAAATTAGAATCACGATGCATCATCATGACGATTATTTAACACAACCCCTACTGTTAAGACTTTTCTCCTGGCTTTGATTGGTTTATTTCTGCCGATGGTATTGCGACCTCTGGGGGGAGCCAGAGGGGCTTGATATTTTTCACAGATTATCAGCCTCATATTGCAAACATGTAAACATTAGAAGTCTACAAATGTTACCCAATGGTCCTTTACTCGACTTAATCCGTGATCATTTGGCTTATTAGGTCTTTCCCTCAGAATATCTGGACGGACAAACGATCTGTCCAACAGGTCATTGGTGAGAAAGCTGCAATGCTGGGAAATGTGGTGTGATTTAGAGTTGCTCAGGTCCAAGCATTTACTGTACGCACATGGTGCTATACAGCCAGGGGCGGATTTAGGATATTTAGGGCCCTAAGTGGAGACAGACAAGGAAAAGTGATTGCATTGCAGCAGCTTTTCGCTGCAGGGATCGAGCGCACCAAACTCTGAACGAAGCTTTAATGAAGACACCTCAAACTTCTAAAGCATATAAAACGGTTGGAACTTTGTTTAGTTTGCATTAAAATAAAACATAAAAGAACAAAATCCCAATGAGAGGTTAGTAATGGAGTCTTCAGTCTGTGTCTAACAGAAGATGAACATGTCCCACTCAGGCTGCCATACATTAGATCAGGTCTGTCCAAAGTTGGTCCTGGAGGGCCGCTGTCCTGCAGCTTCTAGAGGTTTCCTGCTACAGTACAGCTGATTTTCACTGGCTGCTGATTAACAGGCTTTTGCTGAACTGCAACCATCAGAACGAGCTGCTAAAGGACAGCGGCCCTCGAGGACGGAGTTTGGACCAGATGTTGTAGAATTTTAAAACATTGAGCAGCTTTTGGACATAAGGGACACTGAGACCTTCCCATGTTGGTGTCTTTGGGAACTTTTCTCTGGGGTCAGTTTTTACACCACAGGCTAAAACTTTACATCCAGACTCTGTTCATCAAGGGTGGATTTAGGAAATTTGGGCCCTCAAATTTGAGAAGACAACACATAAACAGACCCTTTCTCCAGATAGATAAATGTTAATAGAACAGACATCCATTATCTGTTCTAGGTTGTGTCCCTCTCTTCTTGTCCCTTTTCTTCTTGTTTTCCTCTCTATGTTTTGTACTCAGCTGACTTTTCATGCCGTCTCTAAAGGAATGAAAGATTTTTTCCAAGCACTAAGCTCACTTAGCTGATTGCTCCTTCCTGTGTTTCCAAAAAGGCCAAAGTAAATAACCCAGTCCTTCTTTTCACTGTAGACAAGCCATGATCTGCTTATCTGTTCTCCATTTTTCATTTGGATGAAATAATAGCTGCATGAATCATGACAGCAGACAAGATAGAGGAGAGCAGGAGGCGGGGTTACCAATCTACTTGCTCTGGAGAGCAGAGTTCGCTGCTTTTAGATGTTGTCTCCAAAGTCTCCAGTAGCAGAAAAAAGTCGCTAGATTTGGCGCTAGGAGCTTTTTAGAAATCAAAGTGCTAGAGGGGTCTGAAAATCACTAAATATAGGGACAAGTGCTTGGTGACCTAGGTGCCCTTGGTCCCGCCCCCCCCGTATACAGCGAATATGGACGGAAATCTCTGAGGAGAGTTCATGACACCTTACTGAATTGGTGCCATGAAGAATTAGGGCAGTTCTGAAGGCAAAAGTGGGTCAGACCTGGCATTACAGTAGCAAGGTGTATTTTCTGTGCTGTTGCAGCATCAGTGTTTGGGCAGCGATACTGAATTCCTGTAAGGTGGAATCATTTTGTGCCCAGCACTCAGAGCATGTAAGTGAACACAGTAACGCAGTGCAGGAGGTCATGGTTGGGATGCTAAAGACTGATGGGAGAACTAAGCTTCCCTGCATAAGCAGAGCTCAGCTGATGCCTAGAAAATGCCACTGGAAGCAGAATACTGTCACCTGCAAATATACAAAGACAACATCCAGGGTAGTTTAGACTGTCAGTCACACCGCATGTACAGTATGTCCAATATCACATACAGTCTAATCTGGTTTCTAAACAGTCAGGGTTGGGAGCTTGGCAGAGACATAAAAGGCGCTGGGAGGGAGGGAGGGGTTCATCCTGAGTGTAAGCTCAGCTGTGATGTAACTGTGGATGATGGCGGTGCCGCAGTCACTTTATCGTTTGAGGCAATATCCTCAGACAACCTCAGCCTCTCTCTTTCCTCTCCTGGCTTCTCATTGGTGCCATCTCTTCCACACCCAGCACCATCTCTCTCCGCCTTGCAGGCTCCTCGTCTTTGCTGTCATCCTGGTCATGCATCACTGCCTCCGCTCTGCATCCAGCCCAGCATCCCTCGCCAGCAGCAGCTCTTCCGCATAATGTGTCGGTGTGAAACGTGTTTGCTGCCAAACGTTCCCCCCTTTCCTAAGGCTGCATATTGGATGAAGAAGCACATTTCTAATCACCCCCAATGTGTTTAGCTCTGTGTATTTGAAGCCTCCCCACACATCATCAGAACCTTTGTCCTTTTCCGTGTCCTCTGCTCCACTCATCATCCTGGTCTCTCACTAAACTGGACCACGTCGTTCCGTCTAAGTCCTTAATAATGGCAGATCATTCAAACATCCTTTTGTATTCTGTATATTTCTGCCTCTGCTCTTTGTGGCATCTCCTCTCCTCCACTTGCTCGTCTCTCTGACTGATGGAGGGTGGGGTAATCTGCACCCGTTGCCATGACACCAGACAGCCCTTGCTTGGCGAAGGCACGTAGCTTCCTCTCCGCTCTATTTCCCTGGAGCCCTCGGCTCGGGAGCGTGTGTGCTTCTGCGTCCGTGCGTGCGGGCGTGCTTCCGCACGTGCTCGGATCTGGCAGACTAAACGGGTTTCAGTGCAGCATAGATTTATTTGCTGCCTCAACATGTTGACTAAAGCAGGTTGGGGACAAGAAAACAAACAGTCCATCCACCAAGTCAAATAAAGACTTCATGTTTCAATCCAAATATTCATGGAAAAAGATTTCTATGAATCGCAGGCATGTATCCGACAGAATGACGGGAACGCTCGGGGATCCGTTGCACTTTGGGCAGCAGATACTCGCATCATATGCTGACCACAAATCATATGGTACACACCATTTCGTTTCCCAATGCAGAGATTTTTCTTCTTTTTTTCAGGCGCGCTGTTAAGCTGTCTCATTCTGAAACCCTAAACTGCAGGAGGATATTTTTTCAGTCAACACACAGCCCTCATCGTCGCCCCTAACACTTTTTGGCTCTTAGTTAACATCATCATTTTTATTATAATAAATTATGTCTAGACAACGCAGATAATAGAAACCTATGGAGATGGAGGTGCTTTGCTTTCTTCCAACTTTCCTCCAAGTTCTTAAGAAGTAATAGAGGGGGAGGAAGAATGGGGGAAAAGAATCTGAGGGGATAGGGTG